ATTCACGGAAACTGCTCCGTTGCTCGAGGTGGGCTGAAGACTGGGGGAGGTTCTGCAGAGAGCTGGGAGGTGAGGAGCTCCCAGCACGATACCCCACAGTGGTGCTCTGCCATACAGGTGCATGGGTGGATTCAGGGTAAACTAACACCTTGGGCGGCGAATGAGCCAAAAGGTAGCACGCACCGACACCGCAACAGTGACTGCAATGGGCTTGTGGCAAGACCGCCTACAGTCCGAAGACCTTGCAGCAACATCAGAAAGTATGGATGCTTACACCGCCTCAATCCCAAAAATTGCAGGAAGCACACCGGAGCCCTCCCACAGACTTCCCGGATCCCCGTCTCAGCTTCAAGTCTCTGTAGGAAGCAAACTCTGTCCTTGCATAGCCAAGTGACCATTCCCATGTTCCACCGGAGCCTCGCCTACCCTGACTTCCCATCATCTATACTGCATACTGACACAAATTTTTAGACATTGTACACCATAACGCATAGCAAATGTTTAGTGCAAGGTAGAATATAGTAACATAGTACAACAGTTATGACAATATGACTCTACCATCCACATACTTGCAACTCAGGGCAGCAGGGCTCTCCGAGTTGACGGCAGAGGTGCCCATCGCATCATCACAGGGAGCAGGCCGGGCTGTTGAATCGAGGGGGCTCTGTACAATGCTCATCTGCGGACAAGGATATAAGAAGGACAATTTGGTAGTGGTATGATGGACTTAGAGAGCTTTTTGGGTTGATGGTGGCCGGAAATCTGCGACTTCCCCAGCTTTCTCCTTCATGCCCGTCGGGAGGAAATGGATGCAACGCACACGACATCAGCTCTTTGACCTGGTCGGTCACTCGCGAAATCATGTTATTCTGAGTTGTGGGAGCACGTCACACTGTAACAAAGCCATGCTGCTACTCCCTGATTGAGCTGAGAGAGACGGCAGTGCAGAGAAGTCAAAGGTCGTTCAGTGCCAGTTTACTTGCGAAGAACATGCCCTTGACCCGTGTCGAAGGGCTCGAGAAGCTTTTCCCGATGCTTCGACAATTTTCTTAGTAATAAGCGAATTGACATACACCTGGTGCGGGTGCTGCCAGGAAAGCATTTGGAGCTTCATTGACAGGACGATGGCTAAGGGCCTCATTACATGATCAGACCACGGCTGTATAACAAGACCGTACCACAGGAACTCTATGACTTGCGTTCGAATGCTGCCACCATCCAGGGAAATATTTATACGTGCACGGACGAGAAGTCTACCTGGGAAAAACATATGGCGGCTGCAGGGTTTCTCGTCTCCTGCCTCGCCAAGTACCAACTTCAAGCACACCGACTTACAACAAGCTTCCATGCTGAGCATCGAAACTTGGCTCGAGTGGCTGGGGTGGAGCAGTGACAAGGACTCGCTCCGGCCTGTCTGGGCTTTCCAAAAGCCCAGTCATCAGTACCCACATACTTCAACGACTTGTCGACCCTAAGCCCGAAGTCCCAAGCGCTGACCCTTAACAAACTAAACTCCAAATCCTTTTTGAACGAGGTCTCTCTGAAGTGCGTCCAAGCTGACCGCCTCGTATCCTAAACCCCAAACCCTAAATCATAAACCCTAGACAAACTAAACCCCAAATCCTAAACCTTAGAGACTCGGGGTGAAGATCATCAGCTCATGCCCGGCAGTTGATCACCGGAAGCATCCCACCAGAGGCAACCGCCTCCCTACCTCGGCCGCTTCTCCGTTCCGACCATTTCTGGCGAGTTCGAACACGCTTCTCGGGGGTACCTACAGTCCCCATTGTAGTTCCTTTTTTTTGGTTTAATATTAAGGAACCAAAAAGGTAACCCCAAAAAGGAACTACAATGGAGACTATAGGTATATTCTATACTCGCATTATTATGCTGGCAATAGGCTGAAGGAAGCCAGCTCTGGTCAAAACTTACTAGGAACCTCCCTCCCCCCACGTAGTCAAGAAGGCCTTCAATCAGATCTTTCACTCAGATCCAGAATGGCGAGGCTCCCTTTTACAACTCATTTCAACTGATCCACGGATCCCAGAGACTCCTCGACTCGACTGCTCTGGAGTTTTAGTCCATGTCTCTCTCTCTCTCTCTATATGTATGTGTACGTGTGTACATATATATATATATACATTCTCGTGCAGTACACACTTATACCAGCTTATGGGCTGCACACACATGCCTACATGATGTGCGCCTAAGTCGGGATGTGTGCGGTCGGAGCCCTGCTTGAATAGTGGGACCTGCCGGCGATGCATGCCGAAGGTACAAGCATTCTCCAGTTGATTGGCTGCCCTCTCAACGTCTTCACAATCACCTCAGGTGTGTACATTGACTGTGGAGAGAATCTGCAGCCAAACAAAGTGAACATACTGCCAAGTGATGTAGAGACAAGAGACTTTCCGCTCCCGTACCCCTCACCTCAAAACATAAACTACACGTATCTGAAAGTCAGACATATGTTCGATCACTGCCGGCAGCCGCTCGCCGTCACGGAAGTTTGAATGCACGAAGCATGCAAGCCTAGCTCAAGCTAGCCCTTCCCTTCGTTTGACAGCTGTGTCCATACGTTCGAAGTTCTCAGACGGGTTGCTGTCCGCTGCATTCTCCAGCATGGCTTGAATGACCGTGCCGGCAGGACCCATGTCCCTGACAGTTGTGTTCGGCTTGATTGTTTCAGTGGTAGACAGGCTGGGTGATAGTCCATCGCACGAAATCTGTGCAAACACTCTTTTACGTGATGTGTTCAACCCTCTAAGCCAAAACCAACCTTGGCCCATGCAGACCAAAGAGTCAAATACTTCAGCTAGGGAGCCGGTACGTCGGGTTCTGCGGCCAGCCTGGGTTCCTTGTTCGGGACGCTGCGAGGGAGACAAGTTGGCTCGATTCAGGCCACTGGCCAGTGAAGGGGTAGCAGCATGCAGGCAGAATTTGCAGGTGGAGGAGACCCAAACCGAAACCCAAAGCAATATATACATGTATGTATGTATGTATATATATATATATGTCACACCGGGCTCTGACTTCAAGTGCATGTACTTGGTGTCTTGCGCTCCTATGTACCATGGCTTCGGCCGCGGCCTCTTGAGAACAGAGTCTGCTCCAAGGTTGCTATTGACACACACTTATAATATATGTATGTTTACATATTTATATATATCTTTATTTGTTTATGTATATATATATATGTGTGTGTATGTATATATATATATTTATTTATTTATTTGTTTATATTAGACACAGAAATATAAATGTATGTATATAGATAGATAAATAGATAGATAGATAGATAGATCTACATAGGCAGGTGTGGGTATGTATGTATGCACGCATGGATGCCCGGATGCATGGATGGATGGATGGATGGATGCATGGAAGCGTGGATGGATGGATGGATGGTAGGTGCGTATGAGTATGGGTAAGCCGGCTCATGGGCCCTTAGACTTTTGAGGCGGGGTTCCAAAGCCTCCAAAGCCGAAAGGTTCAAACTTTACAAATCAGCTAGTAGACCTCTACCAAAAACCTCCCGTCAGAAACAGACACGGGTACACCAACAGTGAATTGTCATGGCAGGGCCAAGCGCAATGTGCAGTGCATGGCATAGAACTTTGCCTACGAAGAAGTGCAAGCACGTACATTCACGGCCGTTTTGGGGGCTTTGTTTTAATTTTGGTAGAGAGAGACACAGAGAGAGAGAAAGAGACAAAAGCCGACAAAGGTTCTGATGCTCGTAAACGACAGCCCAGGCGAGGCAGTCTCCCCAGCGCCCAGCAACGAAGCCAGTGCTCGGATTCACCTCCGGTGGCCCCTGACCTCCGTGGAAGAAAACGTGTGACCTACAGGCTGCGGTATCCCATCTAACAACAACAACTCTCTGCAGGGGTGGTCGTGTGGGTTTTTCTGCGGTATAAACAGAAGACGGCCAGGGAACTCGGCGAAATTTCAACCGACTGTTACAGCCTAGAGGGATTTGGGGAGTTGAGGTTGTCTTACTACACTGTTGAGGGGGAATATTGGGAAAGTGGATTTGCGTGAGTCCAGGCCAACACTTATCAGTCTCTGCTGTCAGACCAGCGACTAGTTGCTTGCTTGCTTCCCCGGGTCGCAGTGCAGGGACAACACGAAACTATACTATACTGCGGGGCGCTAGTGCTGGGGTCAACTAGCAGTCCTGAAGAAGACTGAAGACGACCGGGCCATGTGTTTGCTCCAACTTTCCAAGAGCAACCCCACATAGCAGGGTGGTGCAAGTAACTTCCGGCTATAGATGCAGCCAGTGTCTCGTCATCATTTGGCAGGGCTGGGAATTAGAGTCCAGCCCGGAAGCTCCCACACCCGCCAAGCTTCGCGACAGGGTACTGGAAGCATGCATCATTGACAGTACTGTTTCGAATCGAGGCCCCTTTAGACGCAGAAAAAAATCACAAACGCACCGGCAACAGGCTTTGATCAACGAAATAAAATATGCGCCGAAAACAACAACTGCCCCACGATCCAGGATCCAGCGGCAGTAGTTGGCCCAGGTCGCGCCACCTGGCGCCGCTGTGTCCATAAAGGCCGTGTTGGTCTGGGCCGGTGCCGGAGCCTTCACGCGAAGGTGATGGGCTAGAAACCGCGTAGCTTGTGGGACCGTTAGTCCCCACATAATCTACTGTAACTATTAATAAGTACTTTTAGCTCTCCTCGAATCATTAATATTTCAGGGTCGGTGGGTGTAGGGCTTGACCCTACCACCTGTTTCGGTCGCTATCACGGAGTCCTTGGAGCTTCGACAGCACACAGTCAAACACCCTCAAACATTCCGGGCGAACCTTCTCATCTTCGAAAGCGACACATGAGTCCGGCAGGATGGATGCTTAGACTAGCACAATCCTTGCCAAGAGATGCCAAGAGTATGGTGACAGTTGGAACCGTTTCTATGCCACAGCTGCCTGGCCGCCGCCCTGCCAATAGGGGTTGTGGCCACCGTGGTGGACCATCTGAACTGACTCGCTGTCCTCAGGTGCTCGGGAGTGCGAGCGACGTGGAAATTGCTAGGGTCAGATCTTCTTTGGAAATTTGGCGTCTTCCAACGCATGCATGAGCAATGAAGATTTCAGGCAGTAGCGAAATATCCAACACAGCATTGCGGCAGTCCAAACTGCAACAGCTTCAGGTGCCGGGTGAGCAGAACATGCAGACCCGGCGCAAGCTGCAGCTCGAAGCTGCAGCACACCAGGCACTCGAATAGTCTTGCAGAACGAAACGTTGAACATGCCAGGTCACTGAATCACTCGAAGAGGAGTCACCAGAAAAGCCCCACTTGGATGGCCTTTGCATGCTGGAAAGGCCGGGGGAACCGCGACCTCTTGGCTGTGCCAGAATGTGGAGAAACCACTGCTGAAGCCTAAAGTCTCAACCCTTAACTCTCAGATCCTACGAACACCGAGCAAAATCCCCAAAGCCTCAGCCCCGGCCCGACAGCCCAAAAACAACCTGTACAATCCCCTTCACCTGAAATCCTGAAACGGCGGGGGTTTAACACCAAAACTAACTGATACCTCGATCTGGAGAGCTCGGAATGAAGATAGAAAGGCTACTTGAGCTGCCCATAACCCAATTCGCAGAAGGGCTCCTACCCGTTCTATACTAGGGTTCAGTCCAGAAGAGCAGTCAGTTGTATAAGTCAGACATCTGCGCCGTCTTGCAGCCGAAGCCTCAGAAGAACCGAAAACAAGTTGGTTCTGAGGTGCTTTTTGCCGCTCGCGCAGCTGCAACAGACGCAGAAGCCGCAGCAGCAACAGAGGGCCAACACGGTGCCGAGCCACTGGCGTCACAGGGTGGCCAGACTGTTGTTGAGGATAGTTGAGGTAGACTCGCGCTGAATATTGCTGAATCCCCAGCTTCACACGATCCAGCAAAAGCTCAGCAGAGGGATTTGTAGATTGAGAGACAAGGCAGTTGTTCTCGTTGCAGCTGTAGCAACCCCGTACGTTGTAATGCATTGCTACTTGTAGTGGTGCAAGAGTCTTCGCCTGTCCGTATGCTGTGAAGAGACTTCACTGGGGGAGGCGTTTGCCTGTGGCTGTACTATCAAATCCCCAATCGGTTCAAACGCACGAGTTGATCAGCAAACCGTAGCCGCCGTAGCCAATGCGAGCAGGCTACGGCAAAGAAGCCGCTGCTACTCGAGCTGCTCGACTGCACCGACCCGTAGTTGCTCTGCTGCCCAGAGTTGTAGCCGTAGTTGGTCGGCTGACTATACCCAGGGCCTGACAAACAGCATCGTGGACATTCCTCAAACGATTACGCTGATTACGCCTCACGAAGCCAGGCTTGCGGTAAGTATTGACCCGGGAAAGCACCTACACACAAAGCCATAAGGCCGGGATATCCCACAATCGCCTCTGTAAGCAAGGGGATGGAGCAAAGATATCCCACCCAAGAGTTCATGTTTGGGTGGTCTTTTGGTTCCTGAGGGAGACCGACCCACCTGGAAACCTGTGCTCCCGTGATCCGATGCCTAGGACATCTATATAATCGTTGCCCAGAAAGAACCCCGCAGTGTGTCGGAGTTCAAAGGATCCAAGAATAGGAGTCCCTGTAGTCAGAATCCCTTGCGGGGGACCTGGATTTCCTCCCGAGGACCCCATGCCCAGCGAGGTGGTGGTCAGGAAGAGGCGGGCCATTGAGGGATTCCCAGCCTCGGAATTTCATGGCAGCAATTGGAAACTGTGTCAGCTTCATCGGGTCTACAAAGGCCTCGAGGGTATTGGAGGCACCTTTTATTTATCCGGGTAAGGCTCACGACATGCAAGCACAAAACAATAATCATATAACACATGAGCATGTTTGGCAAAAACATAACTGAAACAAGTGAATAAGCGAACACGACAAAACTACCAAAGTAAATATATGTCAATGAACAAGTCAATAAGTAGACAAGTCTAGACAATGGACACACCTATTGTAAATACACTACAAAAACCGTCAGTTGTCTGGCACGCGGAAGATGAAAACCCCACAGCCCCAAACCCCCAGCAACAAAAATCAAAATCTAGACTCTGAGCCGGAAGGCCTTATGGTAAGTCTCCTGATTAACTACTGCACCCCAACACCTCAAAGTCCCCCCCAAAAAAGCCCAGTAAACCTTTCAAGCAGATCGAGGATCGCTGCCCGGCGTAAGTGGGCAGACGCTGGCGGGGTTGAAGTCGATTCCTCGGCTTTTGGGCTTTGGCTTTGGGCTCTCTCAACTCGGACTCTACAGGCGAGTCTCGGTTTTAAGGGTTTCCGGTCTTGGTCTTCGTACATCCGAAGAGTATGGTGCAGATTTTGGGATCACCATCGCTACCAGCATGGACCCCCCGAAGTAATTCAGCAACTTGGGAATGCAGTGAACGCAGCCGTCAACGCTACACAAGAAGAACTGCATAGTCGTTGCAGGATGCAAAGGCATGTTGCAAGGGCATAGAGCCGTCTCAGCTCGATGTTTAAAGGAATATCCTCCAACTGCTTTACGCACCTCCGGCCTAATGTGCACCTCGAGTCTTAGCGGATCTCCTCGAGCTTAGCTTGATGAACCACAGGCTAGGACTGCAGGGTTCTGTAAGGTTCTCTACGGGTTAGGGAGTTTAGAACCTGAAAGACTGGAATTGACCTCAATCGGGATTCTGCGGGACTTTGAAAGCATGTTGAAGCTATCAAGCTTCATGGCACTTCGAGGAGTTGCGGCCATAATGCTACAGGCCTTGGAACATGTAGATTTCCACATTCCTCCTTCATACATGCCTCAGGCGTCGCTGATGCAAGTTGCCAGTGAGATGAACTAAATCCAGGACTGTAGACTGCTACAGTACTGTGCGAAAGTACTCCAAGCCCCACTTTGCTATTGATGTGTGTGTGTGTGTATGTAAATATATATATATATATCTCTGTGTGTGTGTGTCGGTGTGTGTGTGTGTGTTTGTTTTTGTTTGGCTCCCACATGGCTATGCTCGAAAGCTTAACTTGGCAGGTTCGCACACCACTGCAATATCTCTGCATTCCTTGCCTTCATCCATATATCCATATATATATATACATATGTATATGTGTGTATATATATATAGTGATAGTCATTTATGTATATTTATTTATTATATTCATAACGCTTTGCTTATGTGTCTATCTTCGCCAACAGTGAACACTGTCCGGCTGACCGGAGTTAAGCCGAAATCTGAAGACTACCATCGACGTCCAGGGCACCGCTGACAGATGTAACGGTCACGGTAAGGGGCCAGGAGACCTGGGTCGGAATGAAGCCCGTGCTCATCAGGTCGTCCTTACATGGAGATGTGGCAAGAGCAGGGGCTTTAAGATTTAGAAGGGGTTTGGGGCCTCTGTATAGTATATAGTCGAATCATAATAGGGGGCTTCCGCGGCTTCTGCTGCGGATTGTAATCTTCAAGTCTTCAAGACTCAGCAAAGGCAGGGAAGACAAGCCTCTCAGCAGTGGCAACGGGCAGATTCACTGCTTTCTCCGAATCAGTCAGTCCTTCAAGATGAATTGTAGTTTCATTTCCTCTAGAAGGCAGGTGTACAGCTCTGAAGGAATCTTGTGCGCTAAGTTAAATTCCACAAAAAGACGGTCAAGCTTTAAGCAGTCAATGGGGTATAACTTGAGCTATTTTGTGCCTAGCGACTCGTGTTGCATCGAAGTTGGGCGAGATGCTCACGTCACAGCGATTGGCTCCATATTGCGAAACGCAGGAGTTGCCTTGCACCGGGATCTCAAAGGCATAGGTTAATCGGCTAATTGCCGCAATTCCGTCGGCGATGCTACCTATCTCGATACATTTCATACAACGAAGCAAAAACGCATATCTTCGCGGCTTCATCGTCAATGGAACCTCCTCGGGTACAGACGAAGCCCTCCAGCCAGGACTGAGCAGGTGGTTGAGTTTTTGGAGGCAGTAACGGCAGTAAGCCTCAAACGCAAACTCTCTGGATTTTGCGGCCCGAAGCACAATTGCCTGACCATGAGCCGTAGGTGCAGTCCTGCTGCATCATCTGGGCATGGGTGTAGCCTCCTAAGTCAAAAGGCTTCGAGTTTGGACCACATCGAAGCCAGTTTCGACAACATCGAAGCCAGGATCCGAACGCCCTTGAATATGAAGGGTTGGACAATTCAGGTGCCTGGTATTTAGAATATGTAGGTTGCTGGAGTGGAGGGGAGATATTGTACTAAGAGTCCTATATGGAGACTATAACTGGCCGAAGTTTTCCAATTGTTCGGACCCCGACTAACGGCGTGTCCTTGGAGCTTCGAAGCTAGCATCGCCTTGCATTCAGGCTGTTGCTGGGTTATCTGATCAAACGGATGTCGAAAAGTGGCTGGGGCTTTTGCCTCTGCTCTGTGACCTCCCCCGGTTGACCCCCTCCCCAACAGACTATGTGCAGAGTCTCATTTCACCGTGATCATTTATCAACCTCACCCCAACCCTTCAACGATACGATTCCATTCTAAAAGACCACCGCAATTGCCATCAACATTCCAAGGGCTTCGTTGTACCGGGTAGCCAAAGCTGGACCCACCGGAATGATGAAGAAGCTGGCTGGTAGCTAGGCCTGGCGAAAAAGAAGGGTTCCTGCAGCCGCTGAGGTTCTAGATTCTAGAAGAGGCTTGATGGCCTAGATGCGGTTACGCCGTGAGGCTTATTTCCCAACTGGAAACGAGAAGGTGACAATGAGCAACATGATGGTACATCGGGTTTCTCTCAAAGTCGGAGCCTAGCTCCACCTTCCCTCAGAGCGTCGCAACTGGGGACACCCTTCCCCCAGCAGGCCTGCCAAGAGTCCAGCACCGCCCGCCAAGGCAATCTTCATGCCACTACCGGAGCTGTAGGCATTAGCGCCCGTGTAGCCGTAGGATGTGCCTTCGGTGCTGGAACAAACATAGGGACGAGACATCCAAACAGAGCTGTAAGTGGGCAGAGCCACGAGCACCAACCCGGTTGCCATCGCCACGAAGCGAACCGCGCTATCGATTCCTCCGTGCTGCTGCAGTGCTCATGGGCATGTGCCCGCCATAGTTGTGGTACGCATAGTTTGGGTTGGTGTAGCCTCAAATCACGGACATCGCAAACGCTAGCAGAGTTCCAGTGCGCAGTCTAGAGTGACACAGGCGGAACCTCGGGTTCACTACCTTTTCCGATGGCGGGCGATGAGGACGGCGTCACGGTGAATCGTATCTGTAGCGCCTAACGGCTCTTGAAGCCCAACACAAACCCGGTTTACTTCAGGGGGGCGGCGAGTGCCGCAGCACGAGTTCCATGCTCATCCATGCTCTGTGTGAACCGTTCGCACGAAAGACCTCGACACAACCACAAAGCGCTGAAACAGAGGATCCTGCTCATCCCGTGAGGGATCAGAACGGCAACAGCCAGGTGAGACCCCACGACCCGAAGCAAATCATCCTCAGTCACTGAATACACTGAAATCTCACAACTTGATGGCATGCGGTATTCTGTCTCCACGTGGCCGTAGTGCCCAATGCTTGGGCTCAACGGGTTGGAGTAGTGATTGTTGGGAACGAAACTACCGCCGCCACCTTCCGGCCAAGCAAGAACATGTGTGAAAACGGTGCTCCGTCCACGTCTGCACAACTATATATGCAAGCTCGAATACAACGACGCCGGATGCCGGTGAACAAATCGAGCGCAGGGTATAAGGTTGAACCGAGGGACAGGTCCCTGAACTGTCCCCCAAGTCCATGTTACAAACAAGTGGTACTTGGTGGTTGGCAGCTAGTTGCGAGGGGGACTTTGCTCCTTGGCGTTGCAGTTTTACTCTGCTGCTCGTCTGCAGCGCTTGGAAAGACCAGGAACCAATCCATTGATCATCCATGTTTCAAGCAGCCGTTGGGAGTACCCTCTTCAACATTTGTTCAGCGGGCCTCTGCGGCGGCGCGGGGAGAAGAATGACGATCTTCTTCGCGTGTCACCCCTCAGCTCCGAAGCGAACAGAGAATAACAACATCGCATACTTAGCCGATCCTTCATTGTCATGGATATGCCCATCGGATATGCTTTGCTTAAAAGGCATATCTTTGGCCTTTTATTCGCCCCGCTGAAGAATCAACTCGGCATCAAGCTACCCTGTGCCGAAATCAAACGCCCTTGGCTCGCCGGAAGCCTGATGTTGGATCCAACAGGACTCATCTTTGTCTGAGGCTTAAGGCTTCGTTGCTGCAATAGCTCCACACACACACACATTAAAAAAGGATAGCAGCAGCAGCAGCAGCAGCAGCAGCAGCAGGAGCAGCAGCAGCAGGAGCAGCAGCAGCAGCAGCAGCAGCAGCAGTAACAACAATCAATCAACCACCAAGCAAACACACAAACAACAAGACACAAACACACAAGCAAGCAAACAAACAAGCAAATGCAACAGCAGCAGCAGCAGCAACAACAACAACAACAACTTGACAACAGCAGCAGTAGCAACAGCACCAGCAACAACCAACAACAAGGACCACCAACAACAACAACAACAACAAGAACAACAACACCAACACCAACAACACCAACAACACTTTCCATAATCGACCACCAAGTTTATAAGTGGCGGAGGTGGGCCTTGGTGGCCCCTGTCGGGCTCTCCTTCTTGTCGCTTCATGCGGTGGTTTTTACCCTCTTGGAAAGGTGTCAAATCTCTTGCAAACAATGACCAGCCCTTGCTGCGACGGAAGCAGCAATACGCACAGGGTTGCTCAGCGGCTGCTGCTGTAGACTTAAGCATGTAACACATACAAGAAACTCTCATCCCGCTGACGGCTCATCATGCACCCTTTGCTTCTTAAACAGCGACCAAAGAAAAATGCAAGCAATGTAGATCGAGCAACATGACCAGCTCTGAGACTTTTCTGAAGATCTAATCTGCAGCCACCCACGTCGTCACTACCCCAAACCCGCAGCAAATCCCTGCACCTGAAAGTACGTGGCAGCCGTGATTCATGAAGCGGCGGCGCGGAGAAGTATCTGCAGTGCGTCGACGGCTGTCCTTGAAGGAAGGAGATAGAGAGAGACATAACATGTGTACAGGACTGCGATGAAGGTCCGCAGCAATAATCCCGGATCGGCAAGATTCGAGAACTGCACGGCGACGGCTGTCGCTCGTAGACCTTCCCATCCAATTTAGGGTTCAGCCTCCATCCATGTTTTTCTCTTTCTGCACGTCTCTGCTTCAAGTCAAACCGTGGCATAAGACACAGACTAACAGACGAACAACACGATCTCTCCATTAATGGTCGCATAATAATAATGATAATAATAATAAATTTCTAGGACCTTGCAAGCTTCTGACTCCTAGAGTAGCTCCCGACGTCGCTTCAAACCCAAAACCTTGCCATAAAGAAAACTGCCAGCAGCTCCCTAAACAAGCAGCAAACATCCAATCCGTGATTGCCTCCGCCGAGGGGAAGACATCCTCCGTCGGGAGGAGCTGAAGCTGCTTCGGCGTCGGCTGTCGAGGCCGCGCATGGCTACTTCCTCCGATGTGGGATCTAAGTTGCTGCTGAAGGGTTGACGGTTGAATGTCACCTGGAGCTGCTTGACAATGCATCAACCATCGGGGAAGACAGGTTTAGTGAGCGGGCTCTTATAGTCTCTCGCAGAAGATGACCACACGTTTGTCGTCCTAGTTTTCGCCTTGTCGGTGCCTTTGGGCCTCTGCATGGGGTGCGTGCAGACCGTCCCCTGCGTGTAGGCCCCATATAGTGGCAATATATCCCAGCCTCCGAGTCGAGACTTCCTGAGTAACCCTGAAAGCTCAGCGTCCTTCGTTTCTTCTTCCTCGTCCTCTTCAAGCCGCCGGCCGGGCCTTGCTGTATAACAAGCAGTCGTAAGGACATGGGGCATGGTGGACGCAATCGCAACTTCTGAACTTTGCAGCCTGACGGAGATTCAACAACAGATCAGTACCGGTCACGGGTCACACGTAAGCTGCCGGGGTAAGAGCAAGCAGGCGTTGCGTGGGATCGAAAGGGTGCAGCACTGCTCTTTCTGTGCACACATGATGCTCGGAACTCCTTGCACGATGTGGCCCTCGAGCTGCTCGACAGTAGTGGATCGAACAGCAGTCTGTACTTTGCCTCTATCATGACTGCTGGATGTTCTACTGGGCAGCTGTACAGAAGTGAAAGGAACCGCCTCCCGGAGCAAGTCCGAGCACACGTGGCTGGAAATGAACCAAATCAAGCAAGGAGGCCGGGCAGTAACAGCCTGGAGTGTGATGGGCGCGGATTGGTCCACCACCGTGCGGCCAGTAGCGTCCCTTGCTATGAAGCTGAGCGTAACCGGATTCCTCGGCTAGTTTGGGCATCCGGTGGCTCGTTCCCTGAGGATTCATGTGTCTGTCTTCGCAATCCGAAACTCATGATCGAATGACATGATGTGGAGCTGATCTGCACCGAGTCACCGAGGCATACTTGTGCTCTTAGTATGCAAAACCCAGCAGGGCTCCTCATTTAGAACAGTGCTTACGTACGAAGGCTTGCAGATTTAGTTCGGTTGACCTTCCCACTAACATCGCAGTTATGCGGTGCTTCAACAGGTGCGCAACGCCACCATTGGTGATCTGCCCTGATGCGCTTGAATTTGGCCCGAGCACCCTTTTTCCACAGATAGCGGGAAATCTGAGACTGAGAGGTTCAACTGAGGCACATCTTGTGTTGCAAAGGTCCTCTAAGTATACGTCGTGCTTTGAACTTTGGCATCTCTCTTCTCGCACAGGCCAAGCGAAGTCTGCATTGTTTGCAGGGGTTGCTTACGAAGAGGATGATATCTCTCCTGACGTTGAGCCTGCCCCTCTGCATTGCTCGATTTGCTTCCAGAACCAACACATCTGTCTGGTATTATGGCAACGAGATGTTCCGTCGATGTCGCTAGACATCCGCTCTCCACGCGCAAGTTCAAGATGCGAAGATACCCAGGCAACAAGAGCATCCTATTGACTTCGACAACAGAATCCCAAAAACTTCTTGAAACATCTCGAACCCCTAACCTTCAGGCTGGCAGCATAGTTGTCCGGAAGATGGTAAAGATGGTCGGGTCAGAACTCAGCACAGCAGGCTGCGTCACGGAGAGCGTTGCATGGCCTGTGAATAGGGAGGTGTCTTATCTTGGGCTTCTCGTGGCTCTACGTGGGTTAGACTTCTGTCAAGGCAGCATTCTACAAGTCGCGGCACTGCATGGCCAAGCGACATAAAAGTGAAAAAAAAACTGCTCCAAGGTGCAGAACGCCGTGAAATCATTATTGTCATGGTAAAACAGGCGAAGCCTCAACACAGCTGAAATCAGGCCCACACGCTTTCAAACTGCAAGGCTTCATGGACTATATGATTACACCATGCGAAAACACGGCAATCCCCATTGACAAGCGCCTGTCAGAAGCAGGAACTCTGAGGCTTTCAAGAAGGGCCTTCAACATCCATAATGTCGATGCTGGCAAAACAATAAAGAAACCAAATCCCCTAAAACATCAGATGCGCACGGCGAGTTGCATTCCCCCAGCGGAACACTGCGATCTTGGGGCGCTACACACGAGATCCAAGTACCGAGCGTTGTGGGCAGGGTCGATCATGTGAGCACGTGCATGTACGTGAGTGTGCGTCTGCACACGAGGTGGAGGTGTGCATCTCCAGTGCCCAAAAAGGTGATCGAGACGCTTCTGATAACAAGAGCGTTTTATAAACAAGAGGACCAGCCGCACCCCGAAAATACCTCACAAGCAACCGTTCCAAACACACGTAAGTGATCCACTAACATCACAGCACATCAAAACCAGCCGTTGCCCATGCAGACGCTCGATTCCACAAGCAAATGCTCGAGACACAAGTCTCATCACAACAAATCAAAACCAGCCATTCCCTATGTACACGCTCAATTTCACAAGACAGGAACAGGGGCAGGAAGCAGTAGCAGCACATGTAGCAGCACTTGTAGCAGTAGCAGGAGCGCAGCGGCAGGAGCTGCAGCAGCAGCAGCAGCAGCAGTGATCATCGGTTCCCCCTTGCCCACGCAACGACTGCGCTAGGTTTTAGGTCACCCGCGGTAGAGCTATCTTTTTCTTTGTTGATGTCCGGAAAGACGGGTGCATTGTACAGCACACGACAACGCACGAACTCAAGGATGAAGCTAGTGCATAGACCCCATCATGGTTAGCGGTGTGGCTTTTGTGCGCGGTTCCTGGACTCGCAACACCGAAGCTGGATTCTACTTGAAGCTTGGGAGAGTGTTTCAGGTTGTAAACCCGGACCAACAAGACACCTCTGGCAAAGTGAACTGATGAATGCAATGTACTCCTTCGATTCGGTTCAATCCACTGCGGGCCTTGTCTGCCAGGGCAAATGATGTCCATCGCATCGATGTAATACCAAACGCCAGAGTTGCCAGATATACCGCCCTGCTGCGCCCGGCAAGCAAGGACAAGCAAGCCTGCACATCATACAACTTGTGGCTGGCTCACGCCTTGTCTGAGGCAGCTACACACTCCACTTGTCAGGCGAGCAGACTTCACTTGAGGGAGCCGTTCTGCAGGTCATGTGACCAGCTCCAACACGTAGGGAGGGCTGCAAAAAGGCGGGAACGGCAGTGCAAACACACGTAATGCTGGCAATGCTAAGATATCTCTCAGCCCTTCAATCCCTTGCTGCCCTGGCTCTTCTGGCACTTCGGGCCTAAGGCGGCTAAGCTCCGTCCAAGCACCGGCATGGCGATCATAATGGCACGGTCTGATAGAAAGAAAACTCCCTTGCGGTAATGGTACGGCACAGACATTTGGTTGGTGCTTGATCAGTTTCGGAACTGCGGCTCAACAGGCTTGATACTTACTGTGCCGGAAGGCCCTGTGCTGACGCAGGGTTAGGTGAACCATAAAACAAAATCACGTGTACAGCGTAGCAATGCGGTGACTTCAACTCTTGAGCCACAAACACGGCAAGTTTCAGC